TCAGACGTGTGCTCTTCCGATCTCCCCAAAACCCCAAAACCCCAAAACCCCATACAAATAATTTTAGAAAAATGTTGATTTATTTTGAAATGGAGTCCAAATAAGCTTCTCAAGAATTTGTTAATATTTGAATTATAAGAGTATAATATTTTAGAATTATTTCCAAGTGATTTCGATAATAAAAGCAAATCGAAAATATAGAAAAAATGGAAAAGTGACATAGTCAAGATGATAAAGTAGTAAAAGATTAAAGTGGATTAATAAGGTTAGGAGAAGAAGCTTAAACTGTAAATTAAAGAACAAATACTTATGAGAATTAGTGTAGAATAGTTGGTTAATTAAATTTCACTAAAATAAAGAAGCAGCCAGAATGATTTTATAACAAAGGGTTTCAAAAACTAAATACTTTCACTACAGAAATCTTATTTGGTGCTAGCAAACTGGCTTTATAAATTCCATGTTATCCTCTCAATTTGAAATTATTAGCCTTATTCTCTAATATTTGATTGCCAAAGAAGTAATCTTAATTACAATATTTCTCTTCCACTGTATTATCCTGAGCGATTTCAGTAACTTTAGGATTACGAAAATCTTCAATATTAATCATCAATAATCTATTTGTAGTTTCCAAAGTAATTATGTTAATACCACCATATAATATGAGATAGTATCCTTAAAAAATAAACATAGCTGGGTATGAATAAGTGTAATTTAATTCCTTAAGTTAATTGTTGATAGAATATGTATTTAAATCTTTTTCTTAATTCTAACTTGAAATTTTTTCATTTTCCATTCTTTCTTAGCTAAGATTTGGCTAAGAGTAGTAATATATTCTAGAGAGTTTTTCAACCTAACAATAGCCCAAATAGAAAAATTACAAACCTCTCACAGATTTGTCTATTTATGACAGTAATTTATTGCATAGTAATGTTGGAGTTATCAAAAACTTTTTGAATTAATGCAAAAGTTCTGGATATGGTTAATAAGAAGCTAGGTCAACTCTATAAAGATTATCCGTCCAATCAAATTAATTATTATAGCTTTAAATACGACGATGACCTCCAGAAATAAAAATATAGCTATCGAATCTCGCTATTGCTGGGTAGTCAGTGTTGATAGGCAAATCAATATATGCCAAATCCTGATAATAATTTTTTTCAACTGAAGTCTAAACTATAGTTAACAGATTGTTTTATCTCTTTAATATTCTATTCCTGCCTAAATACCTATCTTTGTATAATTCTTCATATTTCGTTACTCCCAATTCAAGAATATTGAATTCATTAGAGTTAGAAAAGTTGATAAACATTCTCTCAGTTAACCAAATGAATTGAAAACTATGATATATCCTATTTTATATAACCTCTTTAAGAGCCACAGGAATAAATTTGGTTATATTGTATGTTTTTAGAGGTTTATTATCATTTTCAATTTTATCTTATAGGCTAGATTCTCATTTTAAAAGGAAAAGTTAGAATTATGATTCTAGAGATTCGATCTACTTTGAAATTATAAAGTCTTTTTAGTAATATAAGCTCAATGTCAATTTTTATATTATTTCATTAACCCTTAACTAACCAGTATTACTATTCTTCATATAGCAAGGTTAGCAAATATACTGGTTTTTATCTTCAAGCTTGTATACAACGTGAAGATTGACCTGCCTACTTTAATATTAATCACTTATACAGCAATCATGACTAAATGTTTCCATATAGCATATGTAGTCTTGATAAAAGTTTTCAATGAATTCTAAGTTTTAATATGATATTTATTCTTCAGGATCTTAGATTATATCTTAACTTTACTAACTGATACTGCTATCTTTTGGTGGTCCAAAGATATTATAGAAACCAAATATCTCAGTTGATTTATTTGATATAATCTTTATGTGATTATCTATTGAAGGAAAAAATGCATGCTGACTATAGACCTATTTTTCTCAATTCTCTATTATTAGTTCAAGTAATTTTGTTGTAAAATGACCACCAGTGGGAATGGCACCAGCATATTATCCTTCAGATACTGCTTCGATCAAATAGCATATACCAAGATTTTTTTGGTGCTAAACTAATATCCCTTTTTACAACTCAGAATTCAGTTCCTGTTTAAATTCCCTGCAACAATCAAGAATTATAATTGTTGCACATTTTGAAAACTTTGCCATTTCATTTGCGAAATTTGTGAAATTAAAGTATTCAACACGTTTTTACTCAATTATTTCACCAGTGTCTAATTTAATTTTTTCAATATATGGTATCACTCCAAAGGTCTCTCTATACTTATTCGTCACTCCATGTCCAGCATAGTAGATAACATGCAGCATTTTCGTATTATTTGGATATTTTTTAGACGATTTTGCAGTATTTTTAATTTCATCGAGGCATGATTTAAACTTTATCCAGGGATTTTTATCAGTATTATCTGTAATTTTTTGTAGGTCATCATAAGCGAATTCTTAAATAAAGTGAGAAATAAACCTATCAGCATCTAAATTCGAATAATCTAAATTATTCTTGAAAATGTTTGAGTATTCTTTGTAATTATTGATCCCAATTGCTAGAATTTTTCTTTTTTAGAAATGCATTCCGATTTAAGTATTATAATGTGAAGATTTGCTCTAATTATTATTTACCATTTATTGAAAAAAATTATTAAATCAAAATAATATTTGGAAATAAAAATAAAAAAATTTATTTAATTATCATAATTAACGGCATAATCGTTATATAAACCTATGGGGTTTTGGGGTTTTGGGGAGATCGGAAGAGCGTCGTGT